ACCGACATTTTGACCAACTCTAAGAATGATAGATTCAATGTGTCTTGCATGGACAATTGATCATCGGAGACAACATTGTTGAGTAAAAAAAAACACTTATTAGTGAAAACCCTTGTGGGCACCATAAGTAAGTATAAAAAAAGAAGAGAGAGTCTCATCGGTGAAAACCTTTATAGGCACCATAAGATGACAAGAGAGAAGATCTTATCGGTGAAAACCTTTGCGGGCACCTTGAGATAAAAGGAGAGAACATCCTGAAAATGACTAATTGGAAGAAATCTGCAAAGATCACCATTTCTCGACACCTCTGCATGAAGGATACATAAATCAATTTTAAATTGATAATGGTTCAGATCTTGAGAACTAGACAACTCAAAAGGATCAAGGGTCAAGTCCAAAGTGCATGTCATGGTTCACTCAAAGTCGACATATGCCTCCAGATAAGTTCTCTTTCTCATATTCTTCAAAGGGGAATGCCCTTTCTTAAGTTTATAGTATGTCTTGATCCAATCTTTCACACTCTTAAGTCTGATATTTTTCTAGTCTTTTCGGTATGATCCCTTGAACAAATAAGGTAAAAGATTGCAAAGCTTACTGTGGTTTCCCAAAAGTAAAGCTGAGTATCCGAGTTGACATGCCATCGAGCAAGGACTAAAAACGCATCAGATCTTCACTGAAAACTTGTGAAGGAACACAATATAGTCTCTTAAGTCATGAAAAAATAATCAAAAGGAAAATTCATTCTTTGGGACATCAGTCGCACCATGATATTTGGTAGTACCAAAGATCAAGGCCCCTGAATTGACAAAGAGGAAGCTTCAAAAGGTTGTTCAACCAAGGATTTGGAGTAGAGTTGGAGATATTGGTCAGGAGTATGGTCAAGTTGTCAGAGCATCAAGGCCACAAACCAACCACCACTTTAAACTAACAATTTTCTCTTTCTTTTTCTCAACACAAGAACAAAATAAAATGTGGGATTACAAGTCAAAAATGAAATATCACAAAAAGAAAGTTCTCCAAAATCTTCACATGTTCGTTGTTTCATCTCACGCTATTCGCATTCTTGCCTCTCAATTCGAGAGCTTCGGGAAATACACACCAGTCTGAATTTCGTGCAATGCGCACCCGTTCTTTATTCATGTGCAATACGCACCATTTTGAATTCATGTATAAAATGCACCAGTCTTTCTATTCATGTGCAATACGTACCAGTCTTAATTTCGTGCAATATACACCAGTCTGAATTCCGTGCAATACGTACCAATCTGAATTCCGTGCAAATACGCACTCGTCCTTTATTTAAATGCAAAATGCACCAGTCTTTCCTTCATGAGCAAGATGCACCAATCCAAATCCCATGCAATACGCATCGATATTGCATTCATATGTAATACACACTAGTCTTTCTTTCATGTGCAATGTGCACCAGTCCTTATTCACATGTAATACGCATCAATATAATTCTCTATTCATGGGGAATACGCACCATATGCATATCCTGGGCAATACGCACCAGCATTCATGGGTTATACACACCATATTCACATTTTTGGGTAATACACCCAATCTTAGGTCAACCCACAAAGACAATACGTCTTATTTGAAACTCTCAGGGTAATACGCAAGAAAGTATGGAATTAGCAACAACTTTTCAGTAACAACTATATTTTTGTTGGCTTATATTAATAAATGGCAACAATTTGATATAATTGTTGGTATATCTTTTAATTTTTAACCACAATATTTTTATTGTTGCCAAACATTCTAGTATTGTTGCTATATTATATTATTAATATTAATTAATATAAAAAATTTTAAATATAATAAAATTGCAACAACGTTTTGGCAACAACCATGATATTGTTGCCCAACTTTAATAAATGGCAACAATTTAATTAATTTGTTGTTATATTAGAAAATAAATGGTAACAATAATTTTTTTTGTTGTTGCTAATATAATTAAATTAACAACAACTTATGCGCCAGTTGTATATGGCCTAAAATAGATTTTTTTAGATTCCCGCCAAAGAAATAGCGGTCTTTTTGTTCCGCCAAAAAATTGTAGAAGTTCCCAATTTTTATTTTTCTTTTCCACAATTTTCTTGAGCCACTTTATAATTTTCTCCAAAATTAAACCTAGGTTATCTTTCTCATTATTTCAGTGAGAAGCAAATTGTTCTTGAAGTCTATCTCTGGTGAGTTTTCTTTATGATTTAGTCTCTTTCCAAAACGATTGATGAATTCTTGAGGATGATTTAGTCTCTTTGATTATTTTGTTCTTGTTTTTTATTTAAGAATGCTTCATAAACTTTGTTAAATTTTAACTTCACGGAGAAAATACTTGATAGACATTACTAAAGGTAGCGACCTTTTCAATTCCAGATATGGGTCAAGGTTCTTTGTTTGATATGTGCAATTTAGGGTCTTTGCAGTTTTGGGAAAGTAAAATTATAATTTTTTTATGAAGAAATTTATTTTCTTGACGTTAAGCAGTAGGTTTTTGAAGTGTGGCTAGCTGTAATCGAGTTCAACTTGGCTTGAAAGGGGCCCTGCATATGTGATTTCAGGTGAGATCTTTATTGCTCGACCATATGAGCAGTAAGAATCATAGTATTTGGATCTTTTCTTCTAGTGATTAGTTTTTTCTTCTTTACGTAATTTGTTGATTTAGTTTTGAAAGTTGAGATTTTCATGAAGAAACTTGATTGACATTATTAAACTTTTTTCAAGTCTTGATGGGTCAAGGTTTTTTGTTTGATTTGTTGAAGTTGGGGTTCTCTGAAGTTTTGGTAAAGTAAAATTATGATTTTTTATGGAGAAACTTATTTCTTACAAGTCTTGATGGGTCAAGATTTTTTGTTTGATTTGTATAGTTTGGGGTTCTCTGTAGTTTTGGTAAAGTAAAATTATGATTTTTTATGGAGAAACTTATTTCTTAACATTAAGTAGTAGCTTTTGAAGCGTGGTTAGCTGTAATTGAGTTCAACTTGGATTTAAAGGGGCCCTCCATATGTGTTTTCTGGTGAGATCTTTATTGTTCCACCATACGAGCAGTAAGAATCATAGTATTAGGATCTTTTTTTCCAGTGATTATTTGTTTTTTCTTTACGTAATTTGCCTGAAGAAATAGTTTGGTTGATATTGATTATTTCTTGGTTTGTCTAATTAGGTGTTCTTGAAATCCATTTTTAATGTTTTTTATATTCCCTCAGAAAAAAAGATTAATGAATGTTTATGAAAACAATTGGTTGACATTGTTAATGATATTTAGAAGTGTCGGTCTAGGACTCTCGATTCTAGAGTGATCTTTCTTCCTTCAAAAAGAAGTTGTAAGAATCAGTGTGTATGTGTGTAATATTTCTTTTGTATGATCAGATTTTTTTTTTTTCAATTCTACCGTTTTAGTTGATTTATTCATATTGAAGTAAAAGTTGATGTCATAGCCGCTGTCTGAAAACATTCTGTAGAAGTTCCTTGATATCCCTAAAGAATTATCACACTAAAGAATGAGTCCATTAACATTACTTAAAGCTAGATGGGATTGCTTGATTCTTAAGTAATGAACTTTTTTCTTCTCTGGAACGTGTAGTATTAATTACCATACTTTGAACAAACTTATTAACTTAGCAGGGGAAATAATTACTATGCCTCAATTAGCCAATCTATTCGGATAGATCACATTCTCTCGTTAATGTTAATATATTAATCTTGAACAATACTGGTAACAGTTATGGTGTTATTCTCCTATATTAAGTCATTGTTCTTTTAAGTTTCTTATATTGATTTTAAAATATCACGTGTAGCTTGATGTGTTTGTCTTATTTTTTTTATTTTAGGTGTTAGATCCATTTAGGTAGTATCTTCTATTGCTTTCTAAGCATTTACAACATTTGACCAAAAACTAATCTGTTCAACCTTCGTAGAAATTAATTATATTTGATATCTATTGGTATAGTTTGACATGGTGATCTTGATTGTCAAGTTTACACACTGACGGTTCAGAGTAAAGGGTTCTATTTAGGATACATTGTGTTGCCACTATGTGCATAGTTTTCTAAATAGCGTTTCAAAGCCTGTTCCTTGTACTAACATTGCATCTCTGCTTCTAACATCTCAATAGTTTTAACGTATGGTCTCTCAAGAGGGCAATGCCATTTTCTTGTTGCAGATGACAACATCTGCTTGGTTGAATAATCTAAGAATCTGAGCGAGCATTCTAGGATTCTTAGTATTGTTTATTGTTCTGCATCAATCCTAAGGTCTAGTCTTCCATCTATTGCAATTACTAAAGCTAAAGTTGCAAGTGTTGGTGCAATATTGCAGCCTGTTTCCAGTGGTACACAAGTGTGATAATTGTTTACTATGTTATTTCAATTATCCCTTTTATTGTTAAGTAACCTATCTGTAATACAGTTTGATTATGTGTGAACTTGTCTGAAGATTTAGTTGACCAGCTTGTTTTCATTGGTGGATATAATTTATTATATTCACACCTAAGACGTGACATATAACTTTTCTGCATATTTGTCTTTAGCATACTGCCTTCCATGTTGTTTTGTGCTATATGGTAAAAGTACGTGTGATATGTCTTAAGTCTTCAGAATTGCAACATACCATCCAATATGGATAGATAGATCTGAATTTCCTATAATTCCTATAATTGGACCACTCTTTTAACCTTGAACAATGCTAATAATCTATGGTGTTATTCTTCTTTATTAAACCATTTTTTAAAGTTTCTTATATTGATTTAAAAAATATCACGTGTAATTTTATTTTCAAAATGTTTACCTATCTTAATGTTATCATTTTTAATACTTTTTTGTGTAAGAGGTTGTATATGAATTGTTTAAGGAGATATAAAAGTAGACAAGAATTTTTGGACTTAATATCACATTTTTGTTTTTATAGTAACTTTTTATAATATGAAGTTTTTTCGTAACATTTTTTAATATAATTTTATATTTATTTGATTGAAATTCCATGTAGGTAAGTATATAATGGATAAAAGTTGGACACATATTGGGAATGGAGCGTTATCGCAATACTTAAATGGTGTGGAACAATTTTTGAACTTTGCATTTTTCATTCCTGAAGTTGGTGTAAGAATTCAATGTCCGTGCATAAAATGTAATAATGTGCTTTGGAAAACGCAAGACGAAGTGAAGGCAGATTTATGTAGGTGGGGAATGAATCAAACTTATAAAAAATGGATTCATCATGGTGAGCTAGATTTATCTTTAGATGATGAAACAAATATTAATGAAGATTCAAATTTAGAAAATGATGATGCTCCGATTTTTGAAATATTACATGATATATATCATGGTGTTTCCAATAATAGTCATGACTTTGTTGAGACAACTGAATTAGGACACGAAGAACCTAATATAGAAGCTAAGAATTTCTATAGGTTAATGAAGGATGTAGAAATTCGATTGTACCCAAATTGTGAAAAGTTCTCCAAACTCTCTTTTATAGTCCGTCTTTTTCAAATGAAGTGTATGCATGGATGGAGTATTACTTCATTTGACTCTTTGTTGAAACTACTGAGTGATGCTCTACCTAAAGAAAATGTGTTACCAAATTCTCTGTATGAAGTTCAAAAGATAATAAAAGATTTGGGTTTAGATTATGTGAAGATAGATGCATGTGTTAATAATTGCATCTTATATAGACAGGAATATGCGGATCTTGAACAATGCCCTAAATGTGGTGAAAAAAGATGGACAATGAGAAAAGGAGAAAATGCCAACAATGAGGTTGCTTCAGATAATTTGAATAAGAAAAAGAAAGGAATTCCTAGAAAGATTCTTAGATACGTTCTTTTAATACCTAGATTACAACGATTGTTTATGACAAAAGGAACTGCAAAAGAGATGAGGTGGCATAAGGATAATCAAGTTGATGATGTGTTACAACATCCAGCTGACTTATTGACATGGAAATTTTTTGATGAAAAACATCCAAATTTTCCTTCAGATCCTCGTAGTGTAAGACTTGGACTTGCTTTAGATGGTTTTAATCCTTTTGGTTCAATGAGTAATTCATATAGCATGTGGCCAGTTATCTTGATTCCATATAATCTTTCCCCATGGGTATGCATGAAACAATCCAATATTTTATTGTCTTTGCTTATTCCTGGACCAAAAGGTCCTGGTATGAATATTTATGTGTATCTCCAACCTCTGATTGATGATTTAAAAACCTTATGGGGGGATGTAATTGAGTCTTATGATGCTTTTATGAAACAAAATTTTCAGTTACGTGCTTCTTTGTTGTGGACAGTCAATGATTTTTCTGCTTATGGTATTTTATTTGATTGGAGCACTATAGGTAAACTAGCTTGTCCAGTTTGTCATGTGCATACTTTTTCCATTTACTTGAAGCATGGTCGAAAGCAGTGCTATATGGGTCATCGTAGGCTCTTGGAGATAAATCATCCTTATCGTCGGAATAAAAGTTCTTTTGATATTACAAAGGAAGAAAGACTTGCACCACAAGCTTTGAGTGGTGAAGATGTTCTTGTGCAACTTAATACCTCTTCACAAAGGTCAGTTGATGACAACACAAGAAAAAGAAAACGAGACACTGTAAGGTGTCACAATTGGAAAAACAAAAGTATATTCTTTGAACTTCCTTATTGGAAGACTTTATTGTTGAGACATAATTTGGATGTTATGCATATTGAAAAGAATATAGTGAAAGTATGCTAGTAACGTTGTTGGATATTGAAGGAAAAACAAAGGACACACTGAAATCTCGATTGGACTTACAAGGAATGAAAATTAAAAATTCCCTCCATCCCATAAAAAGTGGAGATAAATACAATTTTCCTCCAGCAAGTTATACAATGTCCAAAGCTGAAAGGATTCGATTTTGTCAGCTCATTAAAGAAGTCAAGTTTCCAGATGCATACGCTTCTAACATCAGTCGTTGTATCAAGGAAGCTAAAAAATTTGGGCTTAAAAGTCATTTTCATCATGTTCTTTTTCAGCGCATTGTACCACTTATCATCAAAGAAATTTTGCCAAAAGATGCACACGACCCGTTAATTGAATTTTCATTATTCTTTAGTGATTTGTGCGCTAAAGAGTTATCTGTGGAGAAGTTAGATCAGCTAGACAAAAACATAAGAATTACATTATGTAAATTAGAACGTGTGTTCTTGCCGACGTTCTTTGATGTTATGGTTCATTTGGCAAATGAGGCGAAGTTGGGTGGTCCTGTTCAATTTCGATGGATGTATTACATTGAAAGGTTGGCTTCACTTTTCTAAACTATTTTTTTTAATTGAAATTTGTTAAAATATTAATATACTTCACTTCATAGATTTTTGTGAACCTTGAAAGGTTATGTACACAACAAATTCCGTGTAGAAGGATCAATTTCTGAGGGTCATATTGCAGGGGAGTGCATGACATTGTTCTCTAGATATTTGACTGATATGGAAACAAAGGAAAATCGTCCGGATAGAAATTTTAATTCTTCTAACACAGATCACAATGGCTTGTCTATATTTAATTGTTATGGTAAACCACTAGCAGGGGGTTCTTGGGTAAATTTGAGTACTTTTGAAATCAATCAAGCTCATTTTTACATTCTCCAAAATTGTAAGGAAGTCAGACCTTGGATTGAGTAAGTTATGTTTTACCTTTACATCATTTTCTTATGAATACTTAACAACCATTGATGTTTCTAATTGATTACCAAAGATATGTTGTTAGTTTGTTGGACGATCAGTTTGTTAGCTTTCTGTTTGAAGTGATTCCGGTGAAATGTATATGACACCTAGCTCTATCCATTATGCATTCATCTATCATTTTAATTACAACAGAAAAACACAATATGTAAGAAATGTGTTTTAGATACATATTTTCTTCGAGCTTATGGTCTTTATATTGATGACAGTTGCTGGAAGATTTAGATGAAAAGCATACACAAGAATCAGATATGCAAAAAGAATTGGACAACTTGAAAGATAACTTGACTTTTGAGAAGCAAAATTTAGAAATGGCTGCATATGATTGTGATAAATTTAGATCTTTGTGAGATGAAAAAGATGCAGAGCTTAAGGTATTTGTTAAATGCGATTCAATTTAATTTATGAAGAAGACAATCATCTTATTTTATTACTCCATTCGTTACAGGTTGCCCAAATGGAGAAGCGAAACTTAGAAATGCATATTTCAAAGTTGAGTTCTCAAGGTTTGAAGAAAAATATTCCGAAAGAATTGGTTGAAGCAAATAATTAGGTAAAGCTATAAATTTATATTTGACCTTTGTTTCTTATCCAGATTAGTCAGCTACAAAACACAAACATGTGACTTTCACTTGTAGGTCTTAGAAAAGATCCAAGAAGAGGTGAAAGCTCGTGCTATGTTGCGTACTGCAGAAGAAACAAAGAGGAAGCTTTTGAGTGAAAAATCATCACTTGAGAAAAAAATCATAGAACTAGAGAAAAGGAAATCAAGTGAGGTATGTTACCTAAATATCTCTTGTTTAGTGTGAATTGTATATTTAATATAAAGTGGAGTACTATTGTAGTATTGAGCAACATAGAGTCTATGTAGTAATGCAATTAGATGTTAATCAAAAGAGGCTAACTGCTCTAGTTTTGTACGTTGTTAGCTTATCTGCTAACTTTTGGGGCAATTGATGCTTCTCTTTCGTTCTCGATTTTTTTCAAAAAATAAATAAATGAGTAACTAAGATGTGGAATAATTTGCAACCAGATGATTATACTTCAAAGTTTCAACATGTTCTGTTGAATGAAGTTTTTAGTTTTGAGAAATGTGTTTGTCAATACATGCTTAATATTGAGATTGTTGGAGCCTTTTTTCATTCCTGCTAATTCCTTCAAATTTAGATTGCTTTTCCAGGTAATTGGTTCAAGCAATCATAGAATTAGTATTTTGTAGTTTTCTAAGATGCGTTTGTTTTGTTTTTTCATGTTTCTTAATGCAGTTCAGCATACAAAATGTTATTAATGGTTTCCATATAGTTGAAGTTGATGTAATTATGCTTAGTAGAGGTGGTTGGGGAGAAGGCCAGAAAATTTATGTCATGGATTGGTGGCATTGTTTTTTGAATGGATTGCGATTTATGGTTCACTTAGATCACATTAACAATTGATATTCTAGTGTGAGAACTGAAAGTTAGACCATATCAATTGTCTAAGATGTCACAAACCTTTAATTTACTCATAGGACCTAAATTTTTATGTACAAAGCTTAGATAAACATCTTAATCCATAATGGCTTACACTGCTTGCCTCCCAAATGACTGTTTATCCTACTTTTCCTGTGAATATTGCAACTCTCTTGGTTTTCACATCCAAGTAACCTTAATGGAAATATAGTGTTATCTAAAGTGAAACACACAAACCATTAAGGAAAAAAAATGTTTGTGTGCTAAGATTGTGTTGGACATACATAAATCAAAGACGAGAGGGAGTTGCTCGGATGGTAAGCACCCCTCACTTCCAACCCGAAGGTTGCAAGTTCGAGTCACCAAGGGAGCAAAAAGGGGTGGGAGTTCCTAGGGAGGCAAAAAAGAAAATTTAAAAAATTAAAAAAAATTAAAAAGAAAGAAAAAGACACACATAAATCAAAGAACTTTTAGTACTAAAGCTGCATTAGTATTAACCAAACAATCATGTTTCCCAGCCTTGCTAGAGTTCTGGGATGTTAACATAGTTGGAGGTTTGGAGCAGAGGAACTTTGTTTTGACATTGATTTAAATATAGAGAACTAGTAAAAAAAAATATAAGACTAAATACTACAAAAAAGAAGTAGTGTTGAAAGGATATTAATCTTCAAGTATAATAAAATTCTAGCAACACTACAAATGAAGAGTATGTAAACACTAGAATCTTTTTTACCAGAAAATATTATCATTACAGTTTTTTCTTAAGTTCAAATAAAATAAGGAGATCTACCGGTAGATCAAAACGAGTTGGGGCGTACTTAGTAGAGTGTATTATCATGTGATTCTCTCTGATTTTTAAGTTTATATTTGTGTATTTTATAACTTTGTCAAGATATATATAACTATATTTATCTTTTATTTGCAAAAAAAGGTTTCATAAGCAAACATTATTGTGGAAATCAAGGGAGAGTGCCGTTTTAGAAAAGATACAATAGTTTCCGATTCCCCCGAGCTTAGGGATCAATTATGGGGGGTAACTGATCGATCAACTCATTTCGGGGTTAACCTGTCGATCAACTCATTTCGGGGTTAACCTGTCGATCAACTCATTTCGGGGTTAACCTGTCGATCAACTCATTTCGGGGTTAACCTGTCGATCAACTCATTTCGGGGTTAACCTGTCGATCAACTCATTTCGGGGTTAACCTGTCGATCAACTCATTTCGGGGTTAACCTGTCGATCAACTCATTTCGGGGTTAACCTGTCGATCAACTCATTTCGGGGTTAACCTGTCGATCAACTCATTTCGGGGTTAACCTGTCGATCAACTCATTTCGGGGTTAACCTGTCGATCAACTCTAGGCTGAGCTTCTAGTGAAAAACTAAAGCCCTACCTTATAGAATGAAATTCCGCAGTTTTGCAATAACTTGGCATTTTTCTTCACTTCAGCTTTGAGATGATTTTAGCCACTGGGGACCGGCTCAATGAGCACCTTTGGGCGGTGATGAACATGCATAATTTAACATTGCTGCTTCAAGACAAGTATTACTGGAAGAGAATTATTAAAAAGTTACTAGATTATTAGAATATATATTATTAATGACCTTAGTTATTATTTTTTTCTTTCCAGTACAAACATGTAGAAGTATTTAATTTCTTAGAAGTAGTAAATATATCTAGTGCATCAAACTTATGTATCGACCTTTGCAAATTTATATAATTCTTAATTTAAATATTTGTGTAAATTTTCTAAAAGAAATGTGTGTTGTGTAGGTAGAAACTATTCACAAATTATAGCTAACATTGTATTCAAACTATATGATCTCTTGCAACAAAATTTTTTGTTGCTGCCTTCCCAAGAAATTACTAATTAATTTTTTGTTATATTTTTGCAACAATTAGTGAAGTTGGTAAAAAAAAAATAATTTGTGGCAGCACTAAATTTTGTTACGAAAACTTTATAAGCCACAATTATACGACTGTAAAGCAAAAAAAAATTTGGTTGCGTTAAGTTGGTTTTTGGCATCAATATATTTTGTTGTTGTAAAAACTTTTCGCATCGGCGTTTATTGCAACAACATGCAACAATTTTTTTGTTGTTGCCAAAAGTACTTTTTGCAACACCATTCAATATGTAGCAACAAAAAATGTTATTGGGAAATACTATTTTTCTTGTAGTGACGCTCCTTTTTTTTCTAGGATTATACGTCCTAGTTCAAGATTCTCATATCTTTCTTTTCCTAAAAAGAAACACATTGTATTCGGGTTCTTCATTTTTTGATCTTGAGTTTTGAGTTTCAACTGCCAACTCAAGTTAAAAAATGCACCTGCGAATGATCCACAAGCCGCCAAGAGAGCATCAAGATCAATCTCAAAGATAACGCACAGAGCAAGTCGAAGATCAAGACAAGACCCTAAGAAAAAACATCAAGTAGGGATCTTGTAACTCCTATATTGTAGAGAAGCGGAGTTCTCCAGCTCTTTTGTTTATGTAACTATAGACAGTAGATGATGACAAGAAATAAGAAGCAATCTTTTGACCACCATTTTCGACAGTTTTTGCTATCAAATTTTCCCGAACTACACTGACCTGATTTCCTTTTAATCAAGGATAGGTAGGCAACCTCTGAAGCAAGGTTCGGTCATATTTTTCAAAATGGCTTCAACGGAGTTTGAAACATTCAAAAATTAGCCACTTCGTTCACTTTCTTTGCTTGAAAACTCTTCATGTTTCCAAGCAAAGAGGGGCATGCTGTGAACACCTAATTTTTGACGTGTTTATTTTACTCCTACAATATATAGTAAGGTCTTTTCTTATATTTTTATTTTATATTTTTATATTTTGGGTTGTTTGTCTTTGTTTGTTTTGTTTTTTTAATTGGCCCAAATGACCCAATGTTGATTGAATTGGGTTGATTTAGACCCAATTCTAATAGCCCAATCAATTTTAGACCCAGTCCAATTGCAATGGTCAAAATTGAATCTCAACCATTTATAACATTTTGATCTAAGGGCCCTTATGTGACCCTACCAAAAAGTACAAAAAAAAAAAAAACTCCAAAATTCAAAATTTTAGCCTTATTTTAATTTTATTTTTCTTCTCCCCTTGCTGCCACCTACCACTACTAAAAAACTGCGAAAAAATGACAAACAGAAAAGCCACGGACGGTGTCGCACCAAAAAGCGACGCCATTTGTCACACTGTCCGTCGCTTTTTAATAAAAATAATTATTTATAAAATTATTTTACAAAAAGTGACGGACAGCATTTCTTAGTCCGTCGCTTTTTTTTCGCGGATTTTTGAGCTATATATATATAATTAATAATTATTTATTTAATATATACGGAGACGCCGTCCGTCGCTTTTTAATAAAAATAATTATTTATAAATTAGACAATAACCACGTTGTCCGTCGTTTTTAATTTATTTTATTTTATTAATTAGTTTTTTTAAAAAGCGACGGACGACATCTCTTAGTCCGTCGCATTTTGGTCAAAATATCTAGTCAAACATTTTTATTAAGCGACAGATAGTGTCGTTTAGTCCGTCTCTTTTTAATCAAAATTTTGGTCAAACATTTTTTAAAAAGTGACGGACAAAGAGACACTGTCCGTCACTTTTCATTTAATTATGTTACAGCAGTGATGGGTTTTCCCCCAAATTTCCCATTCTCTTTCTCTCTCTTCTCTCCCTTCTCGCCCCGTCACCGGAACACCGATTGTCGCTGCCACCACCATCCGTTGCCGGCGCCATCATCCTCCCGCCGTCGCCGGCCAACCCCAGCTGCCACCCCGCCCAAAAGAATTCCCCAACTGCCCCTCCTTCTTGTTATAAGGTTAGGGTTTAATTTTTTTATTTTTTATTTTGAATTCTAGTAATTATATTTGATTTCTTAGTTTGTATATTGTTTTAGTTTGTTGAATTGTGTTATTGAATTGTTAATTGTACATTTGATTATTGTTAGTTAAGGAGAGAATTGAGGATTTTAGATTTTAGGGTTAGTTTTCTTTTAAACTGGGGATTTTTAAATATGATTGTAAACAAAGTATTAGAAGTTAGAACTAATAAATAATTAGAAGTTAGAAGTTAGAAGTTAGATTAGTTTAACATTGATAGTTGAAATTTTGGTTAATTGAATTATTTTCTTGAACTTAATTAGAAATTCTTGAACTTGGATATTCTTGAACTTATTAGAAATTCTAGAAATTAGATATGAACTTGAATATATATATATATATATATAAAACTAATTTTTGGATTAGAAGTGTATATATGACTAATTTTATAGATCAGAGATATGAACTTGAATTAATTAGGAATTAACTTGAACTTGAACTTGGAACTAATTAGCTTGAATATATAACTAATTAAGTTTAGAAATTAGATATGAACTTGAATTGAAAACTTGAAACTTATTAAAACTTGAATATATATATATAACTAATATTCTTGGATTTGAAGTTTATATTTAAATAATTTTAGAACTTTCATATGAACTTGAACTTGAATATAACCAATTCATGGATTAGAAGTTTACATATAATTAAGTTTAGAAAGTAGATATGAATTAACTTGAATTTAGAACTTGAACTAATTGAACTTAGAACTTGAAGGTTATATATAACTAATTGAATTTGTGATTTTAAGACTAGTTTGAATTTGAAATTATAACTTGAATTTACTATAAATTGAACTTAATTAGGAATATGAACTTGAAATGTTGTTGACTTTAATTTATTAGAACTTAATTTTTATTCTTATTAGAACTTGGATTTTATTTGAACTTAATTAGAATTTTGTAGTACTTGAAAATCTTATTGACCTTAATTAATTTGAACTTAATATAAATTAATTAGAACTATATTAAACTTAATAAATTTATAATAACTTGAAAACTTAATTAGGAATTAATATAAACTTAATTTTGATCAAATAATTAACTAGAACTTGAACTTAATTAATTAGTATTGATTAATTAATTA